CTGAATGCATCTGTGCTATCAACACATCTCTAAGAAGAACCATGCTGTAACTTCCTAGTTCTGTGAAGACCAAGCCCTGGGCTTCTAGCCCAGAGTGTAGCATCAGGCCAGGAGATGGCATGGTAGAGATCTACTGGACTTGACAATTCTGTCTGAGGTCCCAGAAACTGACCCCACAGACCTGAGTGTGAATGCATCCAGAGGTGGGACATTGCAGGACAATCACAGAGTGTGACACAGATTTCAAAAAAATAAAAAGATGGATACAGAGATGAGTCTTATTTTAAGAGCAAAAGCAAGATGAATTCAAGAGTGTCAAAGGTAACTGACCTGTGATGCAGTGGAAACAGCAACAGCAAATGGTCAAGAGCTGAGAATCTAGGCCATCGGTTCTCAACCTTCCTAGTCTGATCCTTCAATACGGTTCCTCATGTTGTGGTGACCCCAACAATACAATTATTTCTACTATAAACATTCTATAAAATTGCTACTTTATAACTGTAATTTTCCTACTGTTATGAATTGTAATATAAATATCTGATATGAAGGATATATGATATTTGACCCCCCCAAAGGGGTCAAGACCCACAAGTTGAGAACCACTAGTCTAGGCTGAGAGGTTACTGAAATTTTATAAATGAGACAAGGGGATCATGAAGATGCAGACTTGATTACATTGGTCTCAGTATTACAGACATCTTTCTGTGATGCTTTGTGTTTTATCCTTGGCCTCTAAAAAAAAAATCACTCTATCACAATCTAATTTGAACTCTTCTTTTATCCACATGGTATTTTTATTAAACAGTGACTATGACAGTCAACTATATTTTGGAAAAATATCAAAAAGCCTTGAGTTGTGCAAAAGAAGTTTTAGAAAGGATTTCAACACTGGGTCTAAATTAGCCTAGGTACAAACTAGTCATTATTTTCACAATCACATCCAGCAGCATGCGCACTCTGTTAAGTGAATTTCTTTAGAGTATATAAAGTTTCACAGCAGGATCAGAGCTACCAAGGTATTTAGGAGGTCCAGAGTAGAGATGAGTAAGAAGTGAGCTGTCATTTCTTGTGGCAAAAATGTACCCACATTCATATTCCCTGTCCCTCACAAGCACAAGCTTCTGCCTTCTTTGAAGGACAGTTGGCCCCAGGTTACTACATAGATGTCCCCTGAATCACTCAGTTAGCTCTGCCATTGTCAAGCATGATGGACGCCTGTCAATCACTCATAACACTGAAGAGGAAGCTGGGAAATGCATTTTGGCTCCTGCTTTGGTATATTACCTTTCAGTGTTACCCCAGATCCTCCAAGTCTTAGTTGACTCTGGATTCCCAGGAAATGTGTTTTATTTCAATTTTACCTAAGTACTGGCTCATCTAACCTTTCCTGGGCACAGCTAAACAATGCCACTGTCCCCTGTGCTGGTATATCCCTGTTGTCTCTTGAGTATGAGATGGCATGAGACCTCCGGCACAACTCAGTACTGGAAGCTTTGCAAATGCAAAATTATAATCTTAGAGTAGCCAACTCTCAATTCAAGACATAAATCCCAAAGGCTTCTCTAGTAGAATAACAGACAGTACTGTTAGCAGAGGCCTGCCTATTCCTCATGCCACATAGTTTTCATCCCCTACTCAAACTTCAAGCATAGTCACTATATAACCCAATGTTTCATCTCTTACCTCTTACTACATCCTAGTTAACTACCATAAAGATCTTAGAACTAAGGATGGATCTGTTCAAGGGTTAGCACTTCTAATCCTTGGTGCTCTAAGGACTACTCTGCAGAAAATGAGATTTCATAACCAGAGGTCACATCCTTGGAACAAAAATTACCCTGATTCCAACCAGACAGTAAAATGGAACAGTAGAATGGGACAATCAGATATGGGATCTTCCAGAGGAAGAACAGGGTGCTGAGACCTGGCAGTCTGACAGTTGGGTTGGATGAAGCAAACAACCTTGGAAATACATCTCCAATGCTCCTGAATCCTGGAGGCCAGTGGAGACAGAATTCTACCTCATCTTACTGAAGAACAGCCTCTCTTTACCTGAGGACTGTACAGCAACTTTCATATGGTGGAAAGATAGGTATTAATAGCTTCAAGATTTGCCTCTAGGCTAAAGGTTCTCACTATTGGTGGGCTGATAACTCAAGCATAACCTCTGCAATAAATGGATTCCAGGATGAGAGTTTATGAAATTGCAGATACTAGGTAATATTTTCTGCTGAGAACCAGGAAAGACAATAGAAGAGGGGATTGTACTGGAAAGAGTAAACTGTAAATCTGGACAGGGTATGAATCATTGACATGGCCTCTCATAGGACTGAATATCTTGAAGGATGTTGCTTTAAAGCTTGGTCACCATGTGGGTTTACAGTAAGTGAGGTAGAAATTCATATTCAGATCAGGAAGGTAGAGGTGCTTTGTGGATATATTGTGGGGGACTTGAGAATTTTTGACCTGGCTATTTTCACAGAGAAAGCCCAGGATTCCTTCCTTTCACAAAGGTAAAATGGAGACAACAGTGACATCTTTGAGAAGCTTAGGGTAGTTGTGCTTGATAATACCCAAATGATGGTATGTGATGCTATCATTAGATTATGCTCCTAAAGGGCATACTCTAACTGAAATTCCTCAATGTCAAAAGCAACAAATCAGGAATTAGTGGGTATACTCCATAATGATGTAATTTCTGTGATATGTATCAAGTATAGTGAGGCAGTCATCTCCCTTGACTCATACTCATCTGGCATGGTTGTTAATACAACCTAGTGTTACCAAGGGCAGTGCATTAGATGGACAGTAAAGACAAATAATGCTCAGTTTGTATAACAAAACAATCACTGACTGGTGAGCAGAAGTATGGTGCCTGCTGTCACCATGGAAAAATGAAGACCCTAATTGTGTTCTCAGATACAAGTGACTTGTGGGTCTAGAGTTCTCTGGACTACAATCAAATTGAAGATCCAGTCTCTGGAGGAAGGACTTTTGCTGTGCCCCCGATAGCACACATGATATGTTTTCTTCAGAACATATCTTCAGAAAGACCTGGTTTCCATGGCAGAGTAACAGTGATTGGGAAAGGAGAATATCTAGATGCTTTTAGGAAAGTTAGACAAGGAGCCTGAGGTGATAGTGATACCAAGAGATCTAGAACGATCCGGCGATGACTTTTGGAGAGTGAGTGGTAAATGGAGTTTTGGATCAAATCCATGCCACAGTACAGCCAGTTGCTTCATATGATCCTATGGTCGTTTTCTCATCCCCCAAGTACACAGTTGGGGTTGATACAAAGAGCATCTGGAAGAACCCCCACTGCGGTTGCATGGCTCGTGAAGACAGGATTGTCACTGCTGGAAAGCATAAGGAGATGACTAAAACTGGAGCTTCCTCATCAGCAGATTCAATTTATGAATAAAGAAATTGTATTTGAGAGAGAGCAAATTCGCATGGCTAAGCTTTCACAGTTGGTAACTGACAGAATCAAGAATCAAATACAATTCAGCCTTGTCATGGGGCCCGGTTGGTCTGGCTTTGCCATTCTACTTTTTTTTTTTTTTATGTTCTACAGCTTGGACAAATAGACACAGTCTCCAACTTTCTGAGATTGCTTAGTTCTACTTAACTGTCCTACACCTATTTTCAATATGATAATCTATTCAAAAATTATATTTGCAGGCTTTGTAGTAAACCCAAAGCCAGTTCCTTCCATTATGCTGAGGATGTCTGTAAGAAAATGGCCCCCAAAAGGAGTGGCATTATTAGGTATGGCTTTGTTGGGGTAGGTGTGACTTTGTTGGAAGAAGCGGGTGGGCTTTGAGGTCTCAAAGTACTCCCAGTGTCACAGTCCACTTCCTGTTGCCTTCTGATCAGCACCATGTCTGTCTGCAAGCTGCCATGTTCTCCACCAGCATGATCATGGGCTGAACCTCTGAAACTGTAATCAAGCCACCTCAAAGAAATGTTTTCTTTATAAGAGTGAAAATCAGCAAAATACTGGTGGGTCTAGTTTCATAGCAATAGTGAAGCTCTTCTGTGATCAAGAGAATTCAAGAGGAAAGTTACAAAGCTAACTGGAAATTCTGAAAAGAATATGATAAAGTCCTAATATTTTCACTATATAGGACTTTTTACAAATCCACCCATTTATTTTTTTCAACAATAATGAACTAACTTTTGTTGGCTAGACTGAATGATGGGGATAAGAAAATAATCAGCAGTAATCAAAATAGCTGTTCTTAAAAAATTTATACATTCATTTATTGTATGTGTGTACATGCATGCATGTGGAGGTCAGAGGAAAACTTGGGGGAGCTGGTTCTTTTTTCTACCATGCACATCTTCGGGGTCAAACTTGCCACAGGCACTTTGGCCCCCTGAGTTAAAAAAGCCATTTTTATGGCACATGGAGTCTTACCAGGAGAGGGAAATAATAAATAAGCGGTTAAAAACATCGTGTTGTAGGTAGTAATAAGTACTATTGAGAAAGTGGAGAACAGTGTGATAAGGGCTCCCAAGAGGGAAGAACATAGGTTTTGTTTTGTTTTGTTTTATAATTAATTAATTTACTTTTGCCAGTAGAAGATTATCTAGGAAGGTAGTATATGAGTAAAGACCCATAGGAGTGAGAAGAAACCCCAGGGATTTCTGTGTGAAGCAGTAGGAATGTTAGTGAGGTGGTTTTTCCCTGCTATATCTCCAGAGGAACGTAGCAGGCAAGCCAGTGTGTCCAGTGTGAAGAGAACATGAAAGCAAGTAGGAAGAAATGAGGCCAGGAGGGTGGCAGAGTAGGCTCTGGAACACTCAGGCTCTTACCATCCCTTGTAAGAACTTTGAAAGGCACCAGACGCTTCTACAGAACTGAATTATGATCTGGCTTGTGCAATCAAGATCATTTTTTTCTATTGCTGAAGAAGAGAAAATAAGTTAAGAGGCTGTTGCAATCCTGAAGTAGAAATAGTGCTTGTTTTATTTTTGTTTGTTTTGTTTTCCAGGATAAATGAGAGTGGGCGAGGGGGGCCAGCAGCTTGCATTTGGACATATTAAGTTTGAAAAGCAGAGCAGACATCCAAGTAGACATGTCAACAGCTTGCTGGGGATCCAAGTCTGTAGTTCTGGGCAAAGGCCTGGGCTGGAGTTCTGTCTGAGCTGTTAGCATACAGACAGTGTGTACAGCCAAGCGACAAGTCAGATGAAGTCAGAAACTAGAGGAAAACAGAAAAGGAGAGTCATGGATGAGAGAATTATGGAGCCGCACCAGCATTAAAGATGTGGACCTTGAGGAAGGATCTTCAGCAAAGGATGCTGGGAAGGAGCTAGTGAGGCAGGCGGAAACGCAGGTGTGAGTTCCAGAAGGGAGATGAAGAGAGAATCAATTATGCCAAGTGCTGTTGATAGAAAGTCGAGTGAGGACTGGTTACTGATTATGTCTGATGCGCTAATTTAGCCTCTCCATTCTTCAGTCTCAGCTTACTCCTTCAAATCTCATCCAAGCGCATTTTTTTTTTTGGTACCTCTCTGCATCAGCCAGCATTTCCACATCCTTTTGTCTCTTCTTGCAGAAATCCTTCAAGCCTTCACCACCTGTTCTCCAGATCACAGCAGTAAAAGGCTGCAGTGGCAGAAGTCTTATGCAGAAGCCTTTTTATAAAGGGAAGGTGATCAGACAAAGGAAGCCTGTGAAGTTTGATAATGATATATATGTATTCTAAGGAGTTTTAAACATAACCATTCTAATGCACTAGCTACCATAGAAATACTGATTAAAATAAGCTGGCTACCCCACTCCCCTAAACCAAATTGGCATTTTAAAAGGCATACTCAGCTATGGACAAGACATAGCAGGCATGCCTTGTCTTGCTGGTGGAAGTGTTAATTGCTAAAACTTTTCTAAGGGCAGCTTGGTAATACAGAACAATACTTTTTGTAGGTTTTTATTTTCTTGACACTTTCGGGTCCAATAATTTTTCCTTTAACAGTTTATTGTAAGGAAAGCACCATCTAGACTTCTATAAAAGGATGTTCACATCAATGCTATTTCTTATACATCTTAGGATATGGAATTAAGTAAAATTTTCTATTTCTGTAGAACACTGAAACTCCTGAGTATTGTTTCTGACAAGACTTACAGGCATAAAACAGCAAAGAAAATCAAAATCATTTAATATTCTACTTTGGAGCTTAAGTCAGCAAATTCTGACACAGATTCAGAACAAAACTCCTGCAGAAAAAGAATTTTAACAATAAGAGAACCTGTCTACAAAATGTAGTCAAAGAAAAAAAAAGAAATGAAACTAACTATAAAATGATGCTATGATTCTACTGTTTAAAAGAAAGAGAATAGAAAAAAATATTTAAAAATCTATCAATAAAAGTCTCACTAGTAATCATTTCAAGATTCTCAATAATAATTATTCTTTAACCTGCTTGACCTTGTTGGACTTTTTACTAATTCTAGAATTTTGCTGAGGGCCTGCCATGCAGATATTTGGGATGCATTAATGAGAACAAATAATTCCCACCCTTGCAGTGTTTACAACCTATTGAAGAGACACAGTTGATAGATTGTAATGAAGAAGAAATTATATAACCTCTTATAAGAGGTGATGAATGGTGGAGGAAAACAGTAAATGCAAACAAGGGGCTGGAAATGTATGGCTATGTGATGGTTAACCTTCATCATCAACTTGGCTTGATTAGGAGTCACCATGGGAACACCTCTTGGCATGACAGTGTGGGCATTTCCAGAAAGGTTTAACTGAAGAGGAAAGACTCACCCTAAATGTGGGCAGCACTGTCCCTGAGCTAGAGTTCCAGACTGATTGAGAAGGAAAAAGCCAGCTGAGTACCAGTGTTCATCTCTCTCGGCTTCCTGACTGTGGTTGCCATGCGACCAGCTACCACACGCTCCTACAGCTCCATCATCCCTGCCATCCCTGCAGCATCAAACTGTGAGCCAAAATAAACCCTTCTTTCCTGAAGTGGCTTTTGTCACCTCTCCTGTCAAAGCAATGAGAAAAATAAGGAGCATGGACTGCAGCTTTCAATCCAGCAGTCATGGCGGATCTCACCGAAGAGGAGGCATTTAAGGAAAACATTACAGACATGAGGCATTACCACCTGAATGTTGAGGAAGAAACTTTCCAGGTAAGAGACTCTGCTGATATATGGGAGCATCATACTGATGTGTCTGAAGAGTGGAATGAGCATGGAAGCAGGAAATGAGATCAGAATGAAGTCAGGAGTCCGGTGGGAGGCTTTGGTTATGTTAAGACATACAGGTTTAGGAGTGTCACAGTTATCTAGATGAGAGCTGCTGCTGCTGTTGCTGCTGCTGGGGTCAAGGAGAGCAGTACTCGAGTGAGAACAGGTCAGACTCTAGGTTTGTCTCAGAAGTAGAATGAGCAGAACTTCTCAATGTTCCAATGAAGGGCATAAAAGGCTTTCCAATCTTTTGACCTGGATGGTTTAAAGGATAAACTTATCAACTGCCATAGAAAGACTATGAGCAGAGCAGGTTTTCGTGTAGGATTGGGGTGATGTACGGCTGAATTCTGGATATGATAAGTCTCTATAAAGGACAGTGTCCAGGAGGAAGTATGCAACTAGAGAACACATCTGGGTTGGAGGCTCATCATCATATAGGGAGTTTTGGAAGCTATCTTAGGGAAGAACTCACTGAATGAGTACCTGTGGATAGGGAAGAGCTCCAAAGTATCTTAGATCACTTCAACAGCAGGAGCTTGGAGACAAGTCACAATCAGGGGAGGGCCGACTGAGAAAGCAACTATGGAAGCAGAAGAAAAAGCAAAGGGCATGGGGCAAACAATTGCTTCGAATGCTGCCACTTGTTTGAGCTAAGTGAAAAGTGATGACTGAATTTACCAGTGTGGATGTCAGGGCACTGGAGACCATGATTTTAGAGAAAAAGATAGAAGAAGAAACTGAAAGTGGATTTGAAAATAGAGAATATAGACTGCTCTTTTGAGGAATTTTGCTTCAAAGAGGCTTAAGAGGTGGGTATGGGTGACTAGGGAAGGGAGGCATTGACAAAGGTGGATCTTTGTTTTTATCTTTTATTGTGAAGTATTTTCTTATCTATCTCTATCTACCTCTCTATCTCTGTCTATCCATCCATCCATCTCTCTCTGTGTATATATGTATGTATATGTATATTGTCTGTCAGATTGGGAGGACTCAACTTGCATGAATCAGTTCTCCCCTCCTACCATGTGTGTCCCGGGCATTGAACTTAGAGCATGAGGCTGTGGCAAGTACTTTAACTCACTAGGGTCTATCCAATCCACAGTGATCATTAATTTTATCAATGTAATAAGATGCCAATAGATAGTATAGCTAGAAGTCACATAAGAACTATCTGGATGGTCTGGATGGCAAGTATCCAGTGTATTGATCTGGTCTATTCTGCTGCCTAAAACTCTTTAGCCTCTGTCCTGACTCAGGTCACATGTAAAATACAAACATTTAAGGCCAGCGTAAGTTCACAGAGTAATGATCATACTTAAGGTAAGCATCCTCCCCAGTCTTTCCAATCCACCTAACACACACACACACACACACACACACACACACACACACACACACACACACACACACACACACTTCAGGAAGTTATTTATCTTCTTTGGAAAGATTGAGCTTTGGAATCTTAGAAATAAAGATTGAGCAAAACCATGAATCCATTTTTAGGAAAGCCGATTTTGCAAGAAAAAAAAGAAAGAAAGAAAGAAAAATAATCTTAGTCTTTTGACCCCAATACTCCAAGAACTTTTTAATCCAGGAAAGCCAATCTCCACCTGTTTGATGTCTTTTTACTGAGACTGAAAAGAGGGGGGATGCAGACTTTGGACATCTCTGTGTTGGAGATTGTATTTGCCTCAGCTACACCGCAGCATCAAATTTCAGTGCCCCCTCCCTGTAGCGCCTGCCTCTGCTTCCTCCCACGTGTGTGTCTTTCCCTAGAGAATGACGATTCTCTCCTCCCTTACAAGGGTGCAATATTGTCATTCTGCTTCCTGTACAAACAGAAACCTAGTAAGTTGTGGTGGTTTAGAACTAGCAGGGGTTTTGTATCAGTTTCTATTAGGCAAACCAAGAAACTGAGTCTCCTAGGGGTGAAGTGAATGGCCCAAAGCCAACAGCCAGTTAAATTGATTTGGGATTTGGGAAAACTCCCAGGAAGATTTGATCAGCTCATTTACACTGACATGTATTGATTGATGTGTTCTCTGCATAAGGCATATCTGATAGAAGCTATAAATAGAGTAAAAATAGTAGATGATGAAAGTGGAGGTGTCTGAGAAATACACCATTATTTTAGCAGCTGTGGTTTTCATGTTCGATGTTCTATTGGCAGCACTGATCTGTCTGTCCAGTTAATGATTAGTGCTCCCAACCAGGAGTGGATACTAAAATTGAAGGTCTGACTTCTAGAGGGGACATTTGGCAGTGTCTTGGAGGCATTTTGGTTGCCATGCCCGGGAGATACAGTGTTACTAGCAATCTACTTGGGAGATTGCTAAAAATCCCTCAGTGTGTGGAACAGCCCTTTCTCTGTTTCATCCAACCCCAAACACCAGTAAATCAAGAAACTCTGGTTGACTCTGAAGGCAAAAGAAAGGAAGAGAAAAGAGACCCTTAGCAGAAGGTGGCTCTAGAGTAATGTTCTGTGCAGAGCTGTCATCAGAAAGGGGGCCAAGTGGATGTTGCCAAATGTTGGCAACATCATTCCTACTGAGCAAGGAACAGTGGACCCAGAAACTGACTTGTGTCTCCTTTTGGTTGAAAAGTACATGTATCTGCCTCCTGAGACCAATCCCATTCTTTAATTATATTTCAGTTGTTACATAAATGGATAAAATAGAATTTTTCCTCCAAGCAAGGCTAGAAGTGAGGCAGAATATTCAATATGAAAAGTGCCTGTGAAGCAAATGCCACAGCTCCATGATGACAAAGGCCTACAGTCTTAGGTAAGTCATTAGACATGGTGCAGATGCCTTTCAGTTGTTTTTCCTTCAGTACATCCTCTGCTTGGAATTCTGGGCACTGTCTTTTAGTGCTTATTTAATTCTTTTATCTAGTGTGAAAACAACTTAGCCTTGAAAATAATCGAGTTCCTGTCATCCCACTATACTGCTGTTTTCACCCTCACACCATGACCCTTTCTTCTCTTCTTGGTGTGGCTGGAGCCTGTGCTTCTATGGATGCTCACTGTCCTCCAATGGAATGTCCTCCCTTCTGCTCTGCTCCTAGCAGCTCCAGTCACTACGGGAAAGGGAGATTCTAGACTGTATGAGAGAAGGCTGGTCTTTCAGAAAAGGTAGACATGTTGCTTGGCATTGTTTATCTTATTATTTTAGAGATAATCTTATTGTGTCATTTATTAAATTGTACTTATAAAAGAGATGTGTTTTAATTAAGTCTATTTCAGAATTGAGAATGACCTAAGTGAGCAGAGATGATACAAAAATAACAATAATTGCTAATTTTTCTTGATGGTGTCAACTGTCGTGCACTCTCTATGGACTCCTATCCTTTTGCTCATTTAGTCTTTATCAATATAAAGTAGGTTCTACTACTGTATCCATCTTACACGTGAGGAAGCAAAATAGAAGAGAAATAATTCAAGTGAGGCAGCCAAGGTCACAAAGCTAAGAAACAGAAAATTAAAATGCAGGGAGTCGAAGCTCACCTGATGGTCAGTGTCCCATGCTTTGTGTTGGCCTTTGGGCCTTTCAAAGCACAAGTGATCTTTTTATTGAAGGCATTTTCAGAGTTAGGTAGTGACAAAGTGTGATTCTAATATTATTCACAGGTCTTTACTTAAACCCCCTGAGTTGATGTCAAAATAATGACAATTGAATAGATTTTTCACTTCTGAGTTAGAAGGATTCTAGCTGGGCATTGTAGCACAGTGCTATAAACCCAACACTTGGGAAAGTTGAGGAGGAGAAGGAGTTCAAAGGCATCCTTGGTTACGTGAGAGTTTGAGGTTATGCTGTGCTGTATAAGATCCTATCTCAAAAACAAAACAAAACAAAAAAGAGTAAAGGAGGAAGACTAGGTGAGGCCAGCAGCTATTAAACATATCAAGCATCCTGGAAAGTCATATGTGTCCGTGTATTACTTATGAGATGTTTCAGAGTATTGTGAACCCCCACTTTCTTAAGCACCCTTTGTCTAGAAGCTACTAAGAACATCCTCTGCTGACTCAATGGTGTAAAACAAGACAGAGGTAGACAAATAAAATCAGCTGCAAGGTCAACCTGTGGTAACCCTGCCTTGAGAACAAGAGGGAGGCACCTGCAGAGCAAATACTGATAGCCAGGTCTTCTAGTGTATTTTATGTTGCTGTGATAAGTACCATGACCTAAAGCAACTTGAGGAGGAAAGAGTTTATTTGGCTTACAGGTTAACATCTATGAATGAGGGAAGCCGAGGCAGGAACTCAAGGCAGGAACCTAAAGGTGGGAACTGAAGCATTGACTACGGAGCACTGCTTCCCAGCTTGTTCCCAAGGCTCTCTTTCAGCCACCTTTCTCATATAGCCCAGGCCCACCTGTCCAGGGATGGTATGCATGGCCTACAGTGGCATGGGTCCTCCTACATCAATCAGCAATTAAGACAATGGCTTACAATCATGACCACAGGCCAGTCTGATGGAAGCAATGGAGGTTGCTTCTTTCCAGGTGTGTCAAGTTGACAACCACGACTAGCCATCACAGCATCTGTCAGGTCGGATGGAGCATGGAGCCATTTATCAAAGGATATCAAAACCAAGCTAATGAAAAAAGCAAGGTCAATAACTCCAAGATTTCAAACTAAACAAGATCATAGATTATCTGCTAAACCAAGCACCCCAGCACTGAATAAGATGTACATAACATTATATATTACATCACAATAATGTCAATATCTATCACTGATTTAATCAAATAATGATCTAGGTCAATATTCCCTCATCCTAAATATTAGAACTAGAAAAGCTATGGAAATCAACATATCTTTGTAATTCTACAGTAACAATATTGATGGCAAACCCTGATCAGAGCTTACATGTCTATTTATAGTCTTTATTTATCCCACTTGATATAAATATTCATGTTTTGTAGCAGAAATGTAAAGTGTTTCATTATAGGGTGTTGCCACAGATCCCACTGGGAGTGTTAAGTAATGCATGATCTATGATCATATTACCTTCCTGAAGTCCTTTAGATACGAATTTTGAGAAGCATCTGTCCCTCAGTGTCTGGACAAAGGATGGGGAACCAGTGTAAGTCCATTGAGAGGTGGGACACACAGGGAGGGCACACCACCAAGAGAAGGAACTTGTAGGTGTGACAGCTAGACTCTCAAACACAGAGTGTCAATATAATCATTTGTGCAGGAATATCAGGCAGAATACAGATGAAGCAGTAAATGGAGTTCAAAGTGGTTGCCCTTAGGGAGTGTTGGAAGGGAGGAGGAGGTACGGCCGAGGCTACTATTTTCATTTATTCAGTTTTATTATTATTTGATGTTTAAACTATATATTCTTTTGATGGGAAATAAAAATAATTTTAAAAAATCAATCATCCTTCCCTTGAGAACATACAGGATAGAAGGCCAGTAAAAGAGTCAGTATGCATTTCTACTTGTCTCATTAAGTACATAGCCTAGAAGGAAATTACACATCCATTTCAATCTTCCAGGGGAAAACAGGATTCCTAGATAGAAGATCTAAATATTCCGCTTAAGATAAGCTCAATGGGAGCATGTTAATCATTGGTGTTTAAAAATATCATCATAGAGAAGTATCTGATAACCTAAACAGAATCCAGAAAAATAAAAGCAGAAAGGTTTTTCCAGAGGGCTCATGGAAGAAAGCCACCATGCTTTGTTCCTTCGCTTTTGTCACCGTGTTCAGCTTCAGAACATGTGAACAAGGCTCCCAATGTCATCCTGCGCTGCTTCATAGTAGTCCTTGACATCAGGGATGTTCTGTTTGAGTGTATTTATCTTTACCCATGATGCTCAGTGCCTCTCTCTGAAACCCCAAACTCTGAAATGTGCGAAATTGCAGAGAAGCTTCACGCCTCACTCATGTCCCCTGGAGGCATGGACGATGTAGCTGGGGGAGTGGCATTGACAGTCGCCACACTGCCTTCAGTGGCTACCAGGGGAAGGAGCAACAGTATTGCTAGTTTAAAACAAGTAAATTAGGCCAAGAAGCAGACATTCTTGTGCAACTTTTAAAATCATCTGGTTACCTACTGTTACTTTGCTAAATGGCCATGCAGTCAAACTGCCTTCTAAATATGTTTATATACATAGGTTTGTGGTACCCCTGACTTCGATCACTAAAGTTTCTTTTTGCAGGAGGTAAATACTGGCTATTTCACAGACTCATAGCTGTTCAGAGCACCAACAATAAGTAACTGTGAGTGATGAGCTGTGGACAGGTCATCTCAATCAATATTCCCCGTCCAAGGAACACTGTAGAAGAACAGAAATTATGGGGAGGAGAGGGCTGTGACATGGCGATTTCTGAACACGACATAAGCTGTTGCACACATAAACGCATAGCAGCTATGCAAGACCTACACAAACTCAAGCCAGTCAAAGTCACAGCATGGCTGGCTGGGTCCCCTGAGGCCCCATCCTTGGCAAAGGAGCTATTGACAGTTGACTACCAGGAGGAAGAATCACTGTCTTTGGGGACATGGCCACTGATAGGTTACTCATGTCCTAGTCCACACTTTCATGCACATATGGGCAGCATTAATTATATCCAAGGAGTCATCACTAACAACAATAAAAGGAGGGCATTAGGCTGGACATAGTTTCATTAGGAGAACATAGTCACACACCTTTAATTATAGCACTGGGGAGGCAGAAGCACGCGGATCTCTGTGAGTTTAGGGCCACCTAGATCTACATGGTGAATTCTGGACAAGCTAGGGCTACTCAGTGAGACCTATAAATAATAAAATAAAATAAAATAATTTTTTTTTAAAAAGGAAGAAAGGCAGGCTTATAGCAGATAAAGCAGGGAAAGTGATGGGTCATTAGGGAAGGGGCATGGACATGGTCCAAATACATTCTATAAATGTACGATTTTAAAAAAACCTTTATTTCTGTGTGTACGGGTGTCTTGCCTGCATTCATGCCTGTGTACTGTGTGCATGCCTGTGCACCACGTACATGCCTGGTGTGTGCATAGGCCAGAAGAGGGCATCAGATGTCCTGGAACTGGAGTTACAGACAGCTGTGGTGTTGGGAATTTAGTCTGTATCCTTTGGAAGTACAGCCAGTGCTATTAACTGCAGAGCCATCTCTCCAGCCCCACGAATAATTTTTTAAAAAAGACTGTTGGATCGTGTCAATATGGTGATAAAGTTGGGAAAGGGAATG